GGGCAGGGGCGGCGCCTCCCGGGCCATGTGGATGACCGCCTCGATGGTGGCCATGATGGTGTCTTGGGTGGCGGCCGGCTCCAAGACGAGCGGGCTCAGGCTCGGCTTCTGCCCCCTCTTGCTGGGAAGGTCGATGCATTTTTCCAGCACCGGCATTTGGTCTCTGGAGTCCTCATCGAACTGGGTGGGCTGCTTTCGGGGACGCCCTCTCCTCTTCTTGACGAAGTTGTTGCCTGTCTTTGATTGTCTCTGCAGCCGCTTGGCCTTCAGGATCTTGTTCACGTGGTCCAGGTTCTTCTTGGTGGACAGGATCTTCGTGTAGTTGCACATCTTGCGCACCTCGCACTGGATGGCCTCGATCTCCCGCCGCTTGAATCGCTTCTTCAGGGAGGAGCTGGCTGCAGGAGGGGAAGAGAGAAGATTGAGCACCAGAGGCAAGCTGCCCTAAACCCAGCTATCGCACTGACAACTGGCATTGTATTTGGCCAGGAAGATTCTGGAGGAGCGATGCTATGGATGTGACCCAGTATCTAGTCTTCCTTTTCCTTGATGGAAACTGAAAATAGTACAAGTCAACATTGGTTGGCTATCTTCTGTGCACACAGCAATTCTATTTATACTATTTCTTGTTTACAACAATTCTGTGGAATGCTCTTGTTCCCCATGTCTAGGATTTAGAAACAGGCTTACTCCATGTAGGAAGATCTACCCTGGGAGTGAATGTCAGAATCAATATTCCCATTACCTGTTCCTATTATCTTTTATTTTTTATTTAGCCCTTTGACATTTGATGTGATTCAATTTAGGATTAGGTTATGCTTTTTCTTTTTGTAGAAGATGTTGAATGAAAAAAAATGACAGTCCTTTATAACAAGCAATCTGGATCGTTCACATGTACTATCAACCTCAAAAAAGAGATGCCTTGACCTCACAGGGAGCATGTATGTAAGTGTGCCTATTTATTTCTAACCCTCCTCTACTGACAGGAGGGAGGATTATTTTCTGGGACACCATCTCTCTGATTCCCACCCCCCTGCTCCCGCTCCGCCAATGTTCTAGACTTGTCTAGTTGCCTGATAGTGTCCAGTTGACCAAGTCCTTCTTAACCAATTCATCCTCCGAAAACCTCAAGGGAAACCAGCCGGGTGTTTCTGAATCACTCCCACTATTCCACTACTTGGCTGTGTTGTTTGTAAAGAGCTCCTTTCAGATCCTGGTGGCCAGATGGACCTGTACTGTATGAGTCAAACCTCTAATCTCCAGAAGTCAGGTACTGCTACCGCTAAATAGCCTTCAGAACTGCTTTGTTTTGACGTTCGGACACTGTAAAATGTGAATGGCTTCAAGATGTAGCAGACCTTTCCTCCTTTAGGTTATTCTTTCTCCCTGTGCTGTTCATGAGCAGGCATGCATGTACGTCCATGTGTACACACACACACACACACACACACACACACACACACACACACACACTCAGGCACTCACACATACTCTTCTGCCCCATCTTCACACCGTCCCCTCCTTTTTTATGAACGTAAGAAGTGTGTCCTCACTTAGTTTTTTGCTGCTGTGATATACCCTAGATTCTCAACCCCAAAGATGCCTATGGAGAAGATGCTGACCCTACTAAACATTACAGGACCATGTATTATGGTTTTAGCATCATAGTTTCTTGTGTTATCCCATGTTTTTTCAACTATGTCCTAAGGAAATAAGGAGAGGGGGCACCTGGGTGGCTCAGTTGGTTGAGCATCTGACTCTTGATTTTGGCTCAGGTCACAATCCAAAGGTCGTAGGATTGAGCCCCTGCATTGGGCTCTGTGCCAAGCACGGAGCCTGCTTAAGATTCTCTCTCCCTCTCCTTTTGCCCCTCTTCCCTGCTCACATGTACTCTCTCTCTCTCTCTCTCTCTCTCTCTCTCTAAAAAAAAATAATTAAGGGAAATGAGGGAAAAATACTGAAAACATGGATACCATTCTCACTTATTCTTGGGCACTCCCACTTTATTCCTTTCCCTGCTTCACCCTATTTCTCTTTCGTGCTGTGGCTGGCACTGAACTCCAGGAGGGTATTATTTGAAGTTATTTACACCACTAGCTTTATGGAGTGGGAATCTCTGAGTTCCATAGGACAGGTCAAAATGTTACTGCTTTTGGCCCAAGGTCATTGTAAGACTTACTGAGCAATGAATAACTACTGAACAATCTTTAAAATAAGTTATAAAGATCAAAATAGAACAAAGCCAGAGTGAGCTTCTGAGTACAAAAATAAAATGTTTGTAGTTAGTGTTGTGAAAGAAAAGCGTTGCTCAATTGTAAGTTCTCAGATGCAGGGATCAATTCTTGTCCATCTTTGTGTCCCTCACAGAGCATAGCGTGGTGCCTTGTCCGTGGACAGGATTTAAAAATTGTTTTTGGACTGATGAATCACACTAATCATTGTGCCTTGTAGTCAGAGTCTTCTCTAAAGGAGTTCAAGTTTGGATTTCTAAAGCATCCGCTACAAAAATAGGGACAGTAGGAGCTAGCAGGTCTCCATGTCCGAGCCAGGTGATCTATCTTGTCCACAAAGTATTGAGAAGACGTCAGAAAGACTCCACAAAACCTTTGACATTATTCCAAGTACACATTTCATGTGAAGTTAACCCTTTCTTTGTATCATCTTTGGGGGAAAGAAAACTCTGTGTAGTACATAATACAGCATATATAGGTAGAAAGTAAAACATTAGGAAATTAGTTGTCAACATCTGACTGACTAAAGATTGACTGGAAAACTCCATGAACGGCAGGTCATTTGGGAGAAATACAAGCATTGGTTTTGTTTCTCTCAGTGTTTTCTTTTTAGCATGAAGTGACAAAAAACAAACAAACAAAAGGAACCTGGTAGATAATACCGTATTCAGTAATTCATTGTATGCTGCATAATATGTTATTAAGCCCTTGTACTGAAAAAATGATTATGAAATAAGTTAATTCTCAGTCATGTAAACATACCTTTACTAAAAATATCATAACCAATTCCTTTGCACCCACTGTTCACATTTGATAAATGTTAACTTTTGCCATATATATTTTAATGTTTATTTATTTTTGAGAAAGAGGGAGACAGAATGCGAGCAGGGAGAGGCAGAGAGAGAGGGAGACACAGAATCTGAAGGAGGCTTCAGGCTCTGAGCTGTCAGCACAGAGCCCAACATGGGGTTTGAACTCACGAAACTTGAGATCATGACATGAGCTGAAGCTGGACACTTAACCGACTAAGCCACCCAGGTGCCCCTATACATTATTATATTTTTTTAACAGTTTATTTGTTTTTGAGAGACTGAGAGAGCACAAGTGGGGGAGGGGCAGAGAGAGAGGGAGACACAGAATCTGAAGCAGGCTCCAGGCTCTGAGCTGTCAGCACAGAACCTGACGTGGGTCTCGAACCCATGAACCATGAGATCATGACCTGAGCCAAAGTCAGATGCTGAGCCACCCAGGCGCTCCCTATACATTATTTTTTTAAAGAAAGAAAATATTATAGATTCAGCTAAGTCAGACTCCCCTCTCAATTCCATTCCAGTCCTTTCCTTTTCCATGCTTTTATTTATATTTTTACTGCATATGCATGAACCCATATTAGTAAAAATTACAGAGCTGAAACTACCTAATGTTGGTGGTACTGTAAGGAAGTGGGGGTCCTTGTACACTGTTGGTAGGAGTGTAAACTCAACTAATCATATTGGTGAGCAGCTGGGCACTGACCACTAGCACTGAAGATGGGCTTGCTCAATGCCCCAGAGAACCTGTGTCCAGGCTGGCTCCTTTACTTATCTGTAGTGGGAGGCTAAGGATGTGCAAGGATGTTCCCTAAAGCCCAGAAGACTGAAAACAGTCTAAATGTTAAGGAGATAATCCGTTACAATAGATAGACAATCTATTGGTTTAATCCGTAAACAATAGAATATTATAGATCTGTTGAAAGGAATAAGCAACATATATCAACATGGTTAAATCTAAAAACAAAACAAAGTTGGTAACAAAAGTGAATACAAGTACTTGCAAATATACCATTTAAAAAAGTGTAAAAACACTTTTCAAGTCCCTTGAATTCAAGATCCCTTGATTTTTTTTTTAATTTTTTTTTAATGTTTATTTATTTTTGAGACAGAGAGAGACAGAGCATGAATGGGGGAGGGTCAGAGAGAGGGAGACACAGAATCTGAAACAGGCTCCAGGCTCTTAGCGGTCAGCACAGAGCCCAATGCGGGGCTCGAACTCATGGACGGCGAGATCATGACTTGAGCCAAAGTCGGCCGCTTAACCGACTGAGCCACCCAGGCGCCCCAGATCCCTTGAATTTTTATTTCATTTTCAGTGTCAAATGTGGAGGTTTAAAGTGACAACAATGTGGAAGCTCAATTGTGAGCTAAGGATTAGGTGGATGAGATTTCACTCTCCTCTCCAAAGCTACCTCATACTGCATAAGCTTCTAGAGGAGTACCGTCCAGTAGGGTTTTCTGCCATGGTGGAAATGTTCTATATCTGTGCTGTCCCATTTGGTAGTCCTTAGACACATGTGGCTACTAAGCGCTTGAAATGTGGCTAGCATGACTGAGAAACTACATTTTTAATTTGACTTAAATTTAAATAGCTCCATGTGGCTGGTGGCTACTGTACTAGGCAGCTCAGTTCTAGTCCTAACCACCATGAAATACACTGGGTTCATTCAGTAAAATACAGACTGTGGGAAACTTGACAAATAAGATGCAAGTAGAGAAAGGCAGGGGAGGTGGCGGGACTGTAAATTAAAAAAGACGTAAGAGATAAAATGACCATATTTTGCTGCCAGTTTAAACAAACTGTCAAAAGAGATCTTATTTCATGAATTCATGGACATTTGAATAGTGTCTGGGCATTGCATGATATTATTTAATTCCTGTTTACTTACTTAGGTGTGATAACTGCATTATGACAATGTTTTAAAGTACTAAGCTTTTAGAAATACTTGCTATTTCTTTTTTAAAGTAGGCTTCACGTCCAGCATGGAACCCAATGTGGGGCTTGAATTCATGACCCTGAGATTCAAGACTTCAGCTGAGATCAAGAGTAGGATGCCCAACCAACTGAGCCACCCAGGTGCCCCTAAAATATTTATAGATGAAGTCACATGATATCCTCTGGAATTGGCTTCAAAATAATGAGGAATAGAGGAGATAAGTAGAAGTACTGATGAAATAGGATTTCTCTTGAGTTAATATTACTCTTGAGTTAATATTACTGAAGCTGGGTGGTGGGTACACTGCGGTTTATTATGCTATTCTGCCTACTTTGGTATATACTTGATAATTCCATAATACCTGGTTGAAAACATATACATGGCAAGTGGCAATAAAACATCTTTCTTTACATCTTAG